TATCAAATGTAACTTTCATAGGCATGGGTTTTATTTTCCAAATCATATTTTTATGATCCATAGGCAGACGTGTTTTCTGGTCCCTTTTTAACACACATTTATTCTTGAAAGTAGTGTTACTTGGAAGTGTAATTGTAATGAGTTTGGTTATAGTATGCCTTTTTCCTTTAAAAAAAGAACATGATTCCCTGTAGGGAAATTCGGGTAATTTGCAGACACAGTAATCTTCACTATACTGAAATGTTAAATACTTGGCTTTTCTCCACGCATTTGCCTTTCTCTACTCTACAACTGCTGTTTCCTACTCTCTTAATTCGATGCCGAGCGCTTGAGTGATGTTTTCTTTTCTCCTTCTCTTCGACTTCAGGATTAAGTTACAGTCAGGAGGGTTCCTTAGAGACATCTCTTTATTTCCCTCTTCTCATCCTGATCAATTCATGAGTACTTTTCAATTGGTGTGCCCTTTTCATTGCCTGTTGCTAATATTTCACATATATCTCATTTTAAGGACTACCAGTAGAGACTTACTTAAAATGACAGCAAAACCCACTTGAAATGTGTTGATTTTATTGAGTTTTACAGAGTCATCTATAGGAAAGGTCATCTAGTCCATGTAAATCATCTACGCCTGATGGCAGAGGATACTTGCCTTACAGAGTATTTGAATCAAGTCTGTTAGTAATCTGTCCTTTAACAATATGGAAAATACAAGACCTAAAAAATGAAACGTAGAAAAATTATGGATTCACATATCACCTTCTCTCGAATTCGCCTGTAGCCCATGTAAGCGTGTCTACACTCTCATGCCCACGGTTCGCAGATATGGGCTCTGAGGCACCTAGAGGTCAGACAACTTGCCCGTGAGCATAGTTCCTAGACAGGTAGGTATTAGAACCCAAATAGCTTACTTTAGACTCTGTTCTTCTAACGCTGTGCAGTACTGGCCCAGTACATGAACTGCAGTAACATTCAGCAGGGTAGTACTGAGTTGTGTGTTCCCACTTGGATTTTTATATTCCTGGAAGTTGCTCTGGGCCGTGTCTCTCAGCGCAGCTGTTCAGGTTTCTGTCCTGGGTCCATTCTTTGTGCTCCAGGGGGGTTCCTCCAACTCTAGACCCTTGGCTTTCTACTCTGTCAGTTGAGCAGATGATATTGGAACCGAGTGCAGCTACTGAGCACCTGGCTGTGTTATCACCCGGGAAGTGGACAGAAGGTCTGCGAGTCGGAAGTAGTCGCCAAACTGTAGCTGCAGTGTTATTATCTATGTAACCTAATGCCAACTTCCTTGAAAATAGGTGCATTTCCCATAACATGTGTTCAGTTAGTATATAGAGTCCAGTGAAAAGAGCAGTAAAGAAGGAACACCAACAAAATCCCTTAGCTTGTTTTTTATTATTGAAGTCTCACTGACAGATAACATTATATTCATATCAGATGTACAACATAATGATGCGGTATTTGTATACATTGCTAAATGATCACAGCAATAAGCCTAGTTCCCATCTGTCTCCACATAAAATTAAAAAATTTTTTCTCGTGATGAAAACTTTTTAGAAGTTACTCAGCACTTTCAAATATGCACTGCAGTGTTGTGAGCTGTAGTCACTATGATGTACATTATGTTCCTGTTACTCATTATCCTACAGCTAGAAGTTTGTGCCTCTTGATCCCTTCACCTATTTGCCTGCCCACAACCCCCTCGCCCCCCAACCACCCATCTGTTTTCTGCATCTATGAGTTTTCTTTTCCTTTTTTTAGTTTCCACATGTAAGTAAAATTATGTGACATTCGGCTTTCTCTGACTGACTTATTTCCCATGTTGTAATGCCCTCGAGGTTTGTGCATGTTGTCACAAATGGTAAGATTTCCATTTTTTTTATGCTGAGTAATATTCAATTGTGAATATACACCCCATCTTCTTTATCCATTTACTCATTGGTGGACGTTTAGTTTGCCTCCATATCTTAGCTAATGTAAATATGCTGCAATGAACATAGGGGTGCATATATCTTTTCAAATTAGTGTTTTCATTTTCTTAGGATAAATACCTAGAAGCGGAATTGCTGGATCCTGTGGTGGTTCTATTTTTAATTCTTTGAGGCAACCCCATACTGCGTCCACAGTGGCTGTACTAGTTCCTACTCCCCGCAACAGCGCACTAGGGTTCCCTTTCATCCACATGTGTTGTTTCCTGCCAACAACTGTGATTTCTTGCTTTTTAGTAACAGCTACCCTGACGGGTGGGAGGTGATGTGGCATTGTCATTTCAATCTCCGTTTCCCTGATTATTAGTGATGTCGAATGCTTTTTCATGTACCTGTTAGCCATCTGTATGTCTTCTTTGGAAAAGTGTCTATTCAGATCCTCTACCCATATTTTATTTGAACTATTTGGCTTTTTCTTCCCTTACAGAATTGTATGAGTTCTTTCTTTATATATTTTGGATATTCGCCCTTTATCAGATATATGGTTTTCAAATACCTTCTCCCCTTCATTAGGCTGCCTTTTCATGTTGTTGATGGTTTCGTTTACTGTGCAGAAGCTTTTAACGTTGATGACACCCCACTTACTTATTTTTGCTTCTCTTGTTCTTGCCATTGGAGGCAGATCCAAGAAATTCTTGTCAAGATTGATGTCAAGGAGCTTACTGCCTATGTTTTCTCCTAGGAATTTTTTGATTTCAGGTCTTATATTCAAGCACTTAATCCATTTTTAGTTAATTTTGTGTATGATATGAGACAGTGGTCCAGTTTTATTCTTTTGCATGTGGCTGTCCAGTTTTCCCAACACTATATACTGACATTCAGAAAAAAAAAATCTAGAGGCTATTTATTGTTTCCAAATTATATTACTTTTAATGATAATAAATAATTTAAAATTTTATACTAATTATAGTAACAGTCTGCAAGGCACTATTGGAAAAAAATGATTTTAAAAAAACCTCAGGATACTATCCTTATTCTCAAACTGCTTACTTTCTAATTGAGAAGTAAGATGCTCAGGTGACATGGTGTTACAAGGGTCACACCCCCCCCCCTTTTTCAGTAGTGGCAGTAAATGGGTGACATCGTCAGACCAAGTCAGCTTACCGCTGCTGTCTGTCACCTTCTTTCAGGGTTGTTTCCTACTCTTTCCTCTTGAGCTCTATATTTTATCATCTTTAGTGTTTTCCCGTAAGCTTTTTTCAAACATACATGGCTAGCGTATGACTTAAGATCTTGAGCCGTATTCCTCATCCGTAAATCAGGTAAATATCACACTTGCATAAATCCTTCATAGCAACCAAATGGAAGATGACAATAAAATAGGCATCTGCATCTTTTCATTAAGTTGCTCAGGAAGCCCAAAGGGCTCTGACGCTGAGTCCCGCGGCAGCTCCCGCTACACAGAGCGCTGCTGCTCCAGCCCCCAGCGAACCCGTCCGTCAGTGTTTGCGTTCACTTAGCGGGCACCTACTTGGCGGCCGCCATTCTTCGAAGGATACAGTGGTGGGTCAACCAAAGTCCTGGTTCTTTCAGAGCTTACGTTGTAAAGGGGTTGACCAAAAATAAGCAAGCACGTCATAAAATAGCAGATAATGTTGAAGGGTAGGGAAAAAGAAAGTAATTAAAGGGGAAAAAAAGTGCCAGGTGTGGTGGGTAGGTGAGAGGGGTCGAAACCTTTAAAGATGTAGCATCTGAGCAGAACTCTGCATGAAGTGACCGAGTGACACAGGAACGGCTCTGGAGGAAGTCACCCCACCCAAAAACCAGTGTGTGAACATGTAGGTCAGAGTTCATGGAAAAGTAGTAGTCATTGGATGCACGTTACAACTCAGCCCAATTCTGTGACATAGAGACTAAGTTCTGTTCTTTAAAAAAATTTTCTTTAACCTTTGGCATTGTTCGAAATTTCCCAAGAATCAAGGCAAGAAATGTTAGCCTCAATATACTCCTTGCTGAATGTGGCGGAGCCTTCAGGTTGCCTCTGGGAAAGTGCAGTACCACTCCAGTAACCCATTCCATCTTCTCAACAGCCTTAGGAGCTAGATGCCAGATTCCCCATGTTACAGACCAGTAGGTCAAGGTCAAGAGAAGCTCAGTAGCTTTCCCCATGTCAGGAGCCAGGGAGTGGGAAGTCTAACTACATAGAAATTGTGTTGTAAATGGATTGTCATTTTTCTCCCAAGTGCATTACTGTTCCGTATCCTACTGAACACACAAAAGCAACAAGCACTGCACCCTCGTCAAATTATGCTTCATCTCTGTGTAAAGACAAAACCAATATGCCCCCAAAAACTACAGAAATAAGTGTGAGATGGTAAACGTTTGGTGCATGTGGTGAAGGAAGTACACAATTTCAAAAAGTACAGGGGTTCGCTGGTGTTAATGTCAGCTGAATATGGCTCGGGGCTAAAAAACATTGAATCTAGCGTTCTTTTTTTTATTTTTTCCACCCCTATTCATATAAGAAGCAATCGCAGGAACCAGGATGGTTAGCCTGGAGAAGGGAAGACTCAGGGGGAATTTGATAACTGTCTACAAATATTTGAAGAACTGTCATGTGGAAAAGAAATTAGATTTGTTCTATGTGCCCCTAGGGGTGGAAGTGATAGAAAGAGTTCACCACAGTTGAAGGAAGGACTTTCAAACAAAACAAGAACTCCAGAGCTCTCAAAATGAGCAGTGGGGCTCTTCGGGGGGCCGAGTGCTCCCCCCTCCTGGGCAGTACAGCCTCTCCAGTGACGCCTTGGACAGGGGAATCGGGAGAAAGATGGATGGCTGGATCCCGTGAATCTTGAGATCCCTTCTAAGGCTGATAATGTGTTATTTCATCAGCGATAAGTGGAATTTCTATTAATGCTGAACTGCTGATGAAGTTCCTTTCTTCATGAAAAGGTGTTTTCTGCCCTTAAGAATTTTTGGATAGCATATCAACAACTCTGCGTGTTACTTCTGGTGCTTAGTTGATAATAAATAATCCTCTCAGAATGAACTTTATTTCTTGCTTGCTCTTTCTAGGTCTCCAGCCATACACCAACTACAGCTTCACTCTTACAGCTTGTACATCTGCTGGATGCACTTCAAGCGAGCCTTTTCTAGGTCAGACTCTGCAGGCAGCACCTCAAGGTAATTAAAAAATACCCGCGATTTGGGAGAAGAAGTTTTCCTATGGCATTTTGAAGTAAACTCTCTAAACTCTTTCATAACAAACAAGGAAGAAGGCATCCAGTCAATAGGTATGAAGTAAAAAGAGTATTCTAGGTTTCTATTCAGATTCGGTTCCGTTAGAAGCCTCCCACATTAAAGTTTGCTTTCAATTCTTTACTCCCTTTAGATTTACTATTACATGTAAAAGTTACTATTGTTATTTACTTGGATATGAAGTTCCTCCAAAAATAAAAATTAAGTATTTCTGGAATGCCGAATATAACACGCAGCAGGTTCACTGCCGACATTGGCTAAAATATCTGCTGCTGTCTAGAACTTAAAATCAAGTAGAAGTGATAGGATAGGTACCCACATCGATAGGAAGACACAGAATCCCAAGGGTGATGTTCAGAAAGACCAAGTGGACAGAGGGCTTGGGTTACTCTGGGGAGGGACTGTGACCCAGTGTGACACCCCAAACAGTTCCGTGGAGCAGGTCGTTGACTTCTGAGGTGGACCACAAGGAACTAGGATTTTGACAAAAGAACAATGAAAGGACCGTAGAAACATCGCTTGAGGGAATGTATAGAAAGACTGTCCCCTTAGCAGGCGAATTGACATTATCTAGTAAATTTAAAATGGTAATCCCCCATGACACAGCACTTGTACTTTAATTACCTATGCCAGAAAATAGCTTTTCCACAACTCTACAAGGAAGCACGTTTCAGGGTGTGTATTGAAGCATGTTTTGTTTGTTTACCTGCAAGACGCTGGAGGCCATATAAATGCCCATGCGTAGGGGAATCGCCAAATAAATTCAAGGTTATTCACGTTGTGGAATTTCACACATCAATTTTAAAAAAATGAGGCGATCTGTACATACAAAGAGAAAGTTATAGACATACATTAATATATGGTGGTGTATGTATAAAAAGCACCCGTCGAAAATGATATTTATTTCTATAGATAAATAAATATTTAGAAAAAATGCTGGGAGCATACAAACCCATCTGATAACAATGCTACCCAGGGGGTGGGAACTGGGCTGGGTGGTATCGTTTACTTGTAGGAGAAAGACATGCTCAGAGGCTTGGCCTAGTGATCAACCATTTCTTCGTCTTTACTAATGTCCTGTTTTGCATGTCGGGAAATAGAGGCTCATAAATAAGTTTCTATACAGAAATATACGGTTAACTACCATAATAGAGTCCTGAACCACTTGTCCATTACTCTGCTAACGAAAGGGATTGTTGTACCTCAGAATATTAGACCTGAACTTCCTACCAGTAAATGGGGAATAAAATGGAAAATTCTGCATATGGAGCATATGGCCCCTCACCAGGAATTCACTAATGATGTTTTCTATATAAAGAATGCTTCATGTCAGAAAGCTTAGTGTTTTTTTGAAGGGAAGAAACCAGCAGTGGATTTTTTGGAAAGGTAAACTATCAAATGGATACTTTGATGATAATGGAGAATTTCTAAGGGATCTACCAGCCACTTTTGGCTGAAACTCAAGCATGATAAAATAACAGGATCTCTTCGTCCAGTTTGCTGATGAAATCCATACATTTAGATTCTTAGGAAATATGCATCTATTTTCCCACCAACCCAGCAGAATTTCTTGACAGGGCTCAGATTTCATGACTTTAAAATTATAGCTTTCAACAGTGCAGGGGAGTGAGAGATGAGAAATGCTCTCCTTGATTTCCTTTTTTCAACTTTATGCACCTTTCTTTTAACACAAATAACTGTGCTAAGGAGTAATAAACTAAATGGGCTTCCCTCCACAGAAGAAACATGGATTTAGAATCCATTTTCAGGCTGTGTAAGTGCCATTTGTGAATATCTTGTATGTGAAATAAATGTAATCGGCATATTTAACAGGAGGGTGTAAGGAAACAAATCACCAAGAACACCAAGTTCTGTTGTTCTACTGTAAAGTGGAAACAAACATGTCATTCTAAGTTAATAACCCAAACACCACTAATTACAAAATGCCTATTTGAGTCAATTAGATGTAGATCAAAGGTCCACCATTTGCGTGTCCTAAGTGGGTGTGGAAAGAGAAGAAGCATTTGTTCAGGGCCGCCCTGAGCTCTTCTGATTTCTGTCTCATTTTCAATCTAAAAAAGAAAAAAAAGGAAGAAAAGTTAATGTACATTATGACCTCATCAATCAGTAGGACATAATTCTCTACAATTGTACTCTCCTAGAAAATTGCGTTCCTGTAGTCAGATCGTGGGACGAGCTTAGATTGTCACAGCCTTTAGAACGGCTGCCATACCAGCAGGTTCCCGTGGCCTCAGAGCTCAGTTGTCCAACGTGGCAGGCTTGCTTTCTGTCGGCGTTGATGATGCGGGAAAGAAAATGCAAAAGATCAAGCCTTCCCAGTTTCATCCCTGATTCCTCCTCTTCTTCCTTCTTTAACTGCTGAGCTTCTTTTAGAGTCTTTCGCTGCTCTTTGTATGCGTCATGCTCCTGCCCCCGGGAGAGGCAGGGTACTGGCTTCCCTTCCGAAAGGCGGCAGAGAGCTGCCACGTCCTCCACGGTGCTCACAAGCGCTACCCTCGAGGATGTGAGGCCTCTGTTTACATTCTGGTGTCTTATAAATACCTCCTCCTCAGCATTTCAGTCTCTCCACGCACTTCCTGCCTTGCTTCTCTTCCTGCTCTCTCTGAAGTCCCACCATCCCCTCATCAGCTAAGCCTAAAACATGACGTATTTAGCATTTCCCTCTTCTTTAGGTTGCAGGAAACTCTTCTTCATAAAATTTTCTTGCATCTTCTTCAAAAAATTACTGTATTTTTCCATTACCATTTTTCCACCTTATATTTTAAAATCCTAATAATTTTAAATCTTAAGGATTTTTAAAAAATGTGTCCTTCCCTTCCATCCCTCTGGTATTGCGTTAGTTTAGACCCTGTAATGCCTCTGGCTATTTCTAACTAGTCTCCCCGGCTCTAGTCATTTGTTTTCCTTTTTCTCATATTCTCATCCCAATTCATTTTCCTTTTTGGCCAAAATTGGCATCGCTCACCTTAATCAACTTTATAAAATCCTTAGTAAAGCAAAACAGACCTCTCAGGTTTTAACTTTGGTCAATCTGTTGAGTCTTCTGGCCTTGCCCACACACCATTCCGTGCACCAGGCACGCCGAGGGGCTGGGAGCTCTGCCACGCTTGCTCACAGCTCTAGGACTTTCTGTGGGTCTCCTCAGCCTCCACGCCTTTCCCCTCCATCCTCACTCTCTTCATTCCCACTTTCTCAAAATTGGGAAGTTTTTTCACATGATTTTCCTCTGGGGCATCTTTCCCTGTGGCCGCTTCCCCTTCTCATCTGCCCACCTCACCCCAATCTGTGTTAGGTGCCCTTTCTAAGAGCTCTAGTAACACATGATGATTCCTTTCTTCCAAGCATTTAACACACTGGGTCATAGATTTTCATTTATTTGTCTTTTTTTTACCATGATACTTTGGGGTCTTTGAAGGGTAGAGTTTGCATCTTTATTCCAACACCCACAGTACCCAACGAAAAAACTGACACAACTTTGGGAAGATGCAGGATGAACAAATTAACAAATAATAAATAGCCCAGATATCACTGCATCCCTGACATCAGTTAACAGAAAACCTGGCGTCTTTCGCCATCTTCAAGAGGAAAGCCAGTCCACAATCAACGTTGGGGACTTTTCTCCTGGGATGAAGATGTGTAAGGACGTGAGAGTGGGTCCTATTACAGGGCGTTCAAGATAAATTGAAAACACATCTAGGAGACATCTTCCTTTCTCAGTAGTTGTGATGTCAAGAGACCCACCAAGGTTTCCTTCTGGCCTTTCGCTCTCAGACCCTGCGCTGGCTGGCCGACTCGGGGTGATGTGCCTCATGGCCCTCTGCTTCTCCCCTGAGCCGCCCTCACCCTACCTTTCCATCATGCAGCACAGCTTTTCTGATACCACCTGAGACTCGGGCTCGGAGAGGGGGCAGATCCTCCACTGGGACTCATTAAGATATCTCACCAAAGGCAGTCTTGCTCTGTCAGAGATTCTTGCAGCTGCCGAGATAACACTGTCTCCCTATCATTGTACACGTTAAAACACAGCCCTTGGTTTTTCACATTTTCCTTCCTTATAAATAAAACCAATGGACTCAGGGATGTTACCAACATGAACAGACCTTTCTCCAGCCTGTACAAATATGGAACTCAACTTTTACTTAAAACATGAAGCAAACCAAAAATGCTGCTTCATTTATTTCATTAACTCCTCCATATTCATAGGCTGTATTGACTGGTTCAAATGGGAAATTAAGAAATAGCCTTTCTCATATCTTCGTGATTTTTAATACATTCTTCAAGGTAAGGAAGACTTGACTGCAGGAGGAAGATTATGAATGGATCTTTATACATTTTCTTAAATCAACAAATTAATATTTATTGATTAGTCTCAGATTAGTTGGTTGAGTCCTCTGGCAGCTGGGGGCAGAAAAACTCAGAAAAATATATACAGTGATCTCTGGGTATGTCCGAGTATCTAACATAGAGATGCTTCCAGAGGACAATCAACTACTTTCTTCTCAGGGACAATTTGTCCCTTAGAAAATCAGTAAGTTTGAGCCATTTTGAAATCCATCTTGATTCTTTCAGGATGTTGCTAAATCAATGGCAGTTGAATTTCGTGAAAATTTTTCTTTAAAAGTTCCAGAACTTTACCCTTAACTGAGTAACTTACGCAGATTAAGAGGGAAAGGAACCTGATGTTGAAATGAGTTTCTGAAGTCTGCAGGAGAGAGACACGGTGAGCACCCCTAGGTGACAACATGGAGTATTAGAACTGAACTTCCTTGTCATTAGTTCTCCACCAGTGTTTGTACTTCTGTAGGAGCACTGGAATGCTTGACCTTGAGTGACAGTCATTTGTGTACATATTTTATCCTTTCTACGGAATGGCAAGCTCCTTGCAAGCATGAGCCACGTCTTAGTCATCTTTGTAATTGCTGGAACTGCCTAGCGTGCTTAACAGTGATTTACAGGAAATGTATTTCCAATAAATGTATTCAGTCAACATTTATTAGGCATCATGCTATCTATAAAGACTGACAAGACAGAGAAGACCCCAGCCCCAAGGAGATAACTTTGTACTGACGTGGTAGAAGGAAGTACAATATGGTCATAACAACGTGGACATAATGGTAACATGAAAGGCAGAAGAGGATGAGGATGTTAGGGGTGTTAGGGAGGACATAGAAATAGGCATGCGGTGGAGAGGAGCTAGGCTGGGATCACTGGGTGGGGCTGACGCTAGAGTCAGGGAAGGGCGTTCTTAACTAAGACCTCCCTGAGAAGGCCACGTTCTTCACACATGTTAGCGAACTGCGAAAATCAAATGCAAACGACTCACGGTGTCATGAGCAAAAGCGTTCCTGGCAGAGAGAAAGGAAGGGCAAAAGGCCAGAGGTGGGGAAGGACTTGGAACATTCGGGAGAGAGAAGAGGGTCTGGGGTGGAGGGAGGGAATGATGCCAAGGTGACCAGAGCCAGAAAACTGTAGGGCCACACGGGTTATCCTAAGGAGCTGACATTATATAAACAGTTTTTAAAAGGCGGTATATTTTATAAAGATCGCATTGGCATGCACGTGCGCGCACGTGTGTGTGTGTATACACTTCTATAAAGATTGCACTGAAATAGATAGAGAAGGACAAGATTTAAACCATGGAGACCAGTGTAGAGGCCACAGCAGGAGTCCGTGAGAGAGAGAGAAGCGACTTGGGTCGGGAGAGGAGGCAGCGGAGATAAAGAGAACAAGGTCCATGCACGGCAGAATCTGCAGGACTTGATGACAGAGTACATTTGGGGGTGAGATAAGTGAAAGGCGCAAGGGTAATTTTTTTCCCCCAATACAATGGACAGACGGACAAGATTGGGCAATGGACAGAGTGTAGAGAAGAAAACCAAGAGGCCAGTTTTGGAGGTTTTAAGTTTTTTATATACAAATAGTCATCCGAATAAAGGTGTCGAGTAGACAGATTCATGAGTCTGAAGTTCAGGAGAGAGTTTTAGTCTGGTGATTGGCATTTCGGAGTTTTCAGCATACAGGTGATACTGGAAACTGAGACTAATTGGAAGTCATCTAGGAAGTGCATTTTGGAGGAGGGGTGAGGGGGCAACCTGGTCCCTGCGAACGACGCCCCCTTGAGGTCCAGCAGGGGAAGCGGAGCCAGCGGGGCTGGAAGGAGTGGTCGAGAAAGGGGGAAATGAAGCAGTGCTTGATGTTAGAGGGGCAAAGAGAAAGTAGGTTTTTTAATTTTTATTTTTATTTTTTTGTGTGAATTGGAGAATTCAGGCAAATACTAGGTTACATTACTTTGACATACTCCACCAGGTCCTGATTCCATTCAGAGTAATAGCCAAGTGAAGAGAAATTTCCCATCGCTCTTATATGACATTCACTAAATAAAATAAAGCAATAAAAGTAGGTACGTGTACCCCCATACGCATTTCACCCCCAAGTAAATAAAATGTCTTTTGGTCACCTGCCGTGAGATTTTTTTGATCAACAGATTAAAGTATCACAGTATGCGAGGTGATGCTGTGAATTTGATCAGGTGTCTCTTTCATCCTGACCCTGAAACATCGTGTTATTTTTGCCAGGAGTTTGGGCCACACCGCGACACATTGTCATCAATTCCACAACCGTGGAATTACACTGGAGTCCGCCGGAAAAGCCCGGCGGCCTCGTTTCTCAGTATCAGTTGAGTCGTGATGGAACCTTGGTTTTCCTGGGTGACGGTGAGGAGCGGCATTTCACTGATAAAAACCTGGAACCCAACAGCAGGTAAACTAAAAGCAAGCTCTGCCCATCGTGCAGTTGGGTTTTTAGATTCCCACTGAAATGGTATTAAATGAATTAGTAAATCTCCCTGTTCATCAGCCTTCGAACAGCTGCTGAGGTCCCTGAACCCACTTCAGATGTCAGTGGCCCACGTGCTGACGCATTACCTTCGTCTTCAGAAATTCCTTAAAAATGTGAACAGATGATCTAAATGGCATGAAAGCACAATACTTTTTAAGTATATAAAATGCAGAAAGTATTAAACTTTTAAAAGATTATCAGATTTTCAAAAACATGCATTCCTAAACTAGCATTAAAAGAAATTTAAAGAGTTTTGTTTTCCATCAACTACCTTTTTTTCTGGTATAATGTTTTTTCTGCTTGCTGCACTATGTATAGACATGGGTCGTTTTAGTGAAAAAAGTTCTACCTATTTGCAATTTATTCCCATTCATTTCTCAGCAGAGACAAAATATATTTTAGATCAACAGATGTTTTATTGTAGAGAATAAAGATCAATTTAGTTTTATCGTAGAGAATAGCAGATCAATTTAGAAACATCTTCCTCTAAACATACTTCCCTGAACTCTAACTCATTTAAAAATGGGAAGATTAATTTGAACCCTCCACAATGCACCAGCGCACTCCAAAATTTCCCTGAAATCTTGAGGAAAAGCAGCGAATTGCTAGTAGAAAGGGCCAGGAAGAGTAGTAGTCTGGGGACAGTGCTGCCCTGTGCTGGACCAACTACCACATCCGTGGTGCAGTTTCTGAACAGGGAGCAAAGACTTCGCAAGTTGTCACAAATTTAGAACTAAGCAATGGATCGAAAAACCAGCAATCATTGTTCAGTTTTCCTATGCATCACCTTAGAACAATTCTTTTTTTTTTTTTTTCTGCCCCTGATACAGATATATTTACAAGTTGAAAGCCACAACGGGAGGTGGCAGTAGTTTTAGTGATGAGTACCTTGTACAAACACCTCTACGAACACCAGAAGAAATCCAGCCTCCATGTAACATCACAGTAACTGGGCCTGACTCCATATTCATAGCTTGGACTCCACCAGGTAAAGAGAGAGAGAGAGAGAGAGAGAGAGAGAGAGAGAGAGAGAATGTGTGTGTGTGTGTGTGTGTGTGTGTGTGTGTGTGTGTGTGTGTGTGTGTAAAACATTTTAGATGACATTAATTGGAAATAAGATTGGATATGTGAGTTTAGTAGAGCTGAAGGAAATAATCTGTTTCCTGGAAAATATAAACAAAATAATGCAAACCACAGTTTTGCAGGTATGCATGCGTAAGTATATATATAGACACATACATACAGATGGATATAGGTGTAGATATGTAGATAAAGATACATGGTCACACAGGTCTTTGTTATTCTATCAACGGAATCCTTTCAATCACCAAAGCCTAAAATGCCGTCATCTTCCTACCTATCCAAGGTAAGCCACACAGACCAGAATGGCCTTCAGCTCTCGTTTCTGCAGGACTCCCTGGGTTGGACCATTTATAGTTCCTCCTATGTTATAGCAGTGAATGAGGAATTCAGAAACACAGGGGCCCACTTCGCCCGTTCTCCTTGGGCTGTGATCAGATGCGGGAGCCGAACTGTGTCCTCAAAGCTGTAGAGCCTCCATTCAGTCATTAAGTCACTAATGGGATGCTTTCGTGGTTTAGTGCATTGTTACAGTTTCAGGGAAACATCATCCTCAGGTAATAATGCAATTCTAACAGCATTAATATGGTAGAATAAGGATTGGAGTGAAATCAGCTTGCTGTGTCTTTTAATGTAAAGGACACGTGGAGGTTTTTTTTCAGTAAAATTTACAGTTGATTAAGGTGTTACATACACTCAAAAGATAACGTGACTTTATTTTTAATATCTAGCCTGAAGACGAAATTGAAATATAAAATTAAAACAAACATCTATTGTCCCCATCAGAATAAGTTTAGCCACAGTTCCTCATGGAACCGGAAAAAATTGGTTAACAGCATTTTGGGCATTATTGAACCCATTCCATAAAATAATTAACAAAGATATATTTTTCATTGAATTGAACAGTTATCTCAGTCAACGCAGGTAATACAGTCATAAAGATAACGTGAAGGCTTAATTATAAAACAACATTCTCACAAACCAACATCCTTCTGATGTCGTAATCTCAGATCAAAGACCGAAGGGCCTGTTTTTGTGGTCAGAGTCACAGGGGAAAAACCTAAGAGCTTTATAAGCAAAGCAAACTTGAAGTTGTGCTAAGCTATTAAATATAAATGATTTCATTCACCTTTGTTTTAAAATAAATATACAACATATTGAGATTAAACAAAACCTAAAGGAATAATCAGCATGTGTCCCAAAGCCCAGCCCTCTGTCCCTAAGTCTGAGGAGAGGAGGGAGTCTGGAATTCTGGTCTTCATTCCGAGGAGGGGAGCCCACACCGGCGGCTGTGGGAAGCACACTCACGTGCCTTCGCGGGACTGCCCCCCACTTGCCCGGAACGGCACTGCTGTCCGGCGGCCTTTGAGCTCGTCACCCCTGAGCATTCCCATCCTGCCGCGGCTCCGCAAAGTAAAGCGAGGCCGCGTAGAGCCAGCCCGAAGCCAGATTCCCCCAACTGGCTGGAGGGTGGTCAGACTCAGACAGGGCCTTCTACCACCCAAACCCTCAAAGAACGATGTCACCAGGAAGTTCCATGGCTCACCAAATTACCCGTCATTTTAACATTGTCATGCACATAAACGGCCACCGCCAACCCGAAGACTTCACACTTAGTGAGGACTGGAACACCTCTTCCTTTTAAGACGACCCGAGCAGGATGAATGCGAAAACCAGGATTCATATTCCAGCAATGCCGCCTGTTAGTTGACTTTAAACAAGCCATTGTTTTCTTTGTCAGTCTGTGATCTCCATCTATGAAATGGAGAAAATGATAGCGCCTTCAAGTAAGGTTGCTATAAAGATTTAATGAGATGATTTTTATAATTGGTATTAATCTGGTTTATAATGTCTGTGGACAGTTGTGGCTACTTCCCAGTAATTATTTTTGCCTTTAATTACTCATGTTTTTAAACGTATTTGCTCCAACCTTTGCTGGGCCCCAAGGCCTCCATTTCCATCATGATGAAGCCACCTACCACAGGACCCGGTTAGTCAATTTTCAAGACTTCTTTCGTGTTTCCCAGCATTTTGTCATTTTTCTGTTTGAGTTCAACATCATGTATTTGTGTTCAGTGAAAAATGTTTCCACTTAGAGAAAGATCATTGTGACATAAAACACCACTTTTGCTTCTTTCATGGAATCTTAACTCTTGTCTACCCCAAGCTGTATAGAAATTGCTCATTCTAATCCAGCCTAGGGGATATTGTAGAAATGCCATACATACTAACTCTGACCATATAACCAATGGTTAATAAATCTATAATATCCAGACCTGTCAATCTCTTAGTTTCAGTTGCACAAAATCTATTACAGAAACCCTGTAATATATGGAAAGATTAAAATCTTAAATTACCCTTTTTTTTTTCCTGATGCCTACAAGGATTTTGAACTCAGTAAACAGGCAGATGATTTTGTTGATTTTATTGTAAAGCACCTCATGCTGTGTTTTGATTCAGATAATAAAAATATTTTACTGTCCCTGAATTGTCACAAATATATATTTTAAACAGTAAGTAAACAAGCTTGTCATAACCAGAGGTGGTTTTCTGGTTCACGGTCAGGAGGTTCCTAGGTATTCGTCACAGTCCCCTGCCTTTACAAACTGGTGACATCACAGTCAGAGCTGAAATGTGGGCAGAACGGTCCATACCTATGGTTTCAAAACCTGAATGAACCTAAGAATCCCTGGGGGGGCTTGTGCAAAGACAGAGTCTCAACCCCAATTTGACCAACTAAGAATCTTCCGGGATGGAGTTAAGGAATCTGGGCAGTTGTTAAAGGTCCCCCAAGTTTAGGAACCGTGACTCACACCAAGCAGAAGTGGTCAGCTACATTAATTCTCTAAAAACATAAGTCAATTTCCCTTGACTGTCGAGAGTCAAAATAGTGGGAGAATTGATTTCTTTTTCCCATGTACTGTGTGGTCAGCACAGATAGAGTGATTTTACACAAGTGAGCTGCTCAGAGAACAAAGACTATGTGGTCACTTAGTTGTGGAAAATACCTAGGCAAGTAAGTGGGTGTTTAGTTTACAAATCATTATTTCAATGCTATCTGTAATTAAGCCCTACTGCATGTTTGCAGATATTACTAGTAAAGAGGGTAAGGGCTGGGGATAAGTGGGAATGTTGAGGGGAAGAGTAATTGTGATACTGATGGCAAAAATATTATATATATGTGTGTGTGTGTGTGTGTGTGTGTGTATGTGCATTAATATTACTTGCTTATGTGTGCCATTTATTACATTCCTACTATGTGCCAAACACTTTGACAAGTACCTTTCCTGCCTTTCCTCCGTTCATTCTTACGTAAGCCTTGGAGACAAGTACTATCACTGTCACCACATTAAGATAAGAAATTTGAATCTCGAAGTCATATAATATACTCAAGGTCACAGAGCAGAGCCAGGATTCATATTCAGGTCCTCTCTCCTTCCTGACTTTGGCTTAATTCCCAAATCCAAATTAAACGTTTTACTTACTGCCTAAAGTCTTCCAGATTTATGATGAAGCAACTATGCTTTTTGAAATAGTAGCTCAGAGGGCCCGGCAGTGGAACTAGGTGTTGGTGAAAACCACAATGTTGTAGAAGAAGTATTCTTTCTGGGCACATAGGACCAGAAGAATAGTGAATTGTGGAAAATGGCAAGTTCTGAAGGGGAACCAGCCACGTAACAGGAGGTCTGCACTGGGGCATGAAGGCTTCACCTGCCCCTCCGACAGCCCGGGACAAATAGATGTGACTTAGCCAAATGAGATTGCAGGTGCAGGAAGAATTCAATTAGATGGGAGAGGGCAAGAGCCATTTCTCAAGTATTTCAAAAAAAAAAAAAAAAAACCCAGACAAACAAGTTATTCAGACTATTTTAAACCATAGTAGATGTTCTCCAACCTGCGAGGTAAATCCTGGTTCACTTTGCCTCATTATTACTTGATAACAGTCCATAGTAACATTAACAAAACATGTCAAGCTCCAGAAAAATCAAGATTTCTACTCATTTGTATACAGTTTGTACTTCCAAATCAAATGATATGCAAACACCATATCCTTATAAAATGTTGACTTAATTGATGGGGAAAAAAACAAAATGCTAAGCTTCTAAATTGTATCAGTCATGCAAATATAAGTAAACTTTGAGTTTTCTGCTGTTTAAAATCATTCAAACACATGATTTTCTATAGAAGTTCACCCCTCACTCCACATTAACTCAAGCCTACACATACACGCACATTCCTTCCTTAAAGGCAAACAGAACACACACATATTTTCCCAAAAACTATCATCTTATGGATACATAATTTTTTCACATATTTCAGAAAAGGTAATACCAGTTTCTATGTGGAACCCCCCCATTCAGTTTCTCTGTGGCCTTGGACAGGTTGTACACAGGATCTGAACTCTAGGTTTCTCATCTGTGAAAGGAATATTAAACGCCTACTTGCATCACTGCTATGTGAAGTCAGTGAGGTAGCACAGTAAAACACGCAGTGGACGCTGGATACGTGCTGTGTATTCCTATTCAAATCTGTAGACAACGTACACCGGGGGAACTTATTCCTAACCATGTCTACTCACTTGTACCGGCTCTGAGCCTTGGGGCAGGACTTACATACACTTCGACCTGAAAGAGAGCAAAGAATACATGTTGTCTCGGTGGGCGAAATATGGTAGCAAATGCAGAAGTGAGTGCTTTGTGGGACATAAACGGTTCACTCAGAATAATGGAGATGGACCTTCCTGCTGTTTGAGAACCTAAACATTCAAAATTATTTAAACTCTGAATGTAATAATGAGCCTTTCTAATTTAGCAAGGTGATGACTGTATTTTGAACTATGCTGGCCCTTAATCATGTTCTAATTAACAGTGTCACTGTGTGTAACACACACTTTTTCTTGCTAAAGATGGCGAGTTGTTCAGGCTTTAGTGCATAATATTGAAACGCCGGTGCCTTTCCTTCCACATTTACCTCTGAGTCTATTAAAGAAAAGAATTGGCAACAATTCTTCTGCTGAGAAATTTCTATTAATATTGCTTAGGAATACAAATGCTTTCAGTTAATCAACTTTCGATTAAAAGGTAGCTAGCCACGGCACGGCCTGTCTGTAGACATTAGGCACCCACGGCTTCAGTGAGCTCATCGGGTGCAGTGTCTTAGATCAGACACTATCCGTGTAAGGTCAAAATGGGCATTAAGATTTGTAAGAATTCATGTTGCATTCGTCGGGATGATCTGACATTGGCAGTTGTTTCACTCTTATACGTGCCATCACCAAGGGACAGACAGCGGTGAATTCCAGCAGAAATGTAAAACCCTTATCACTGATTTACGGTTTGTTTGCATTTTTTGATTGGAACACTTAAGTTCTACTCTCTTAGAAAATTCCAATTATAGGATAATGTGTTATCAACTACATCACCGTGTTATGCATGAGATCCTCAAACGTCACTCCCCTGATAACTGAAAGATAGCACCCTTGTGTTTGTATGTCTTGTTTAGGGGGAAAAAATCAAGGTCTTTGTCCATTTTTTAAATTGGATTATTTGGGGGTCTTTCGTTACTGAGTTGTGTGACTTTCTTATATATCTTAATATTTAACCCCATATGATTTGCGTGAATTTTCGCCCGTTGTGCAGCCTGCCGTTACATTTTGTTCACGGTTTTCTTTGCTGTGCAGAAGCTCGTTGGTTCGATGCAGTCCCCCTTGTTGACTTCTGCTTCTGTTGCCTTTGCTTTCAGTGTTTAGTAAGTTTACCTTACTTTATGGAGTTCTAACGTGTACTGGGAATTTTTCTGAGAGATTACCACGTATCTCAGTTACCGCTCAGTGCCACATTCAGTATAGCCTATGATTTTCCTGCGTTACTAATGAGAAAACTCAAGGCAGGTGTGATAAGCTACATTCCCCTGGTTGGTCATCACAAAGGTGTCAGAGCCAAGTCCCAATGAGTCCGACTCTAATTTCTATGCTCAGAACCACCGAGCTCTATTTTCTGTGTAAACAGTGCTTTTCTGCATTCTACTGTGATAGAGATCAAAAGCTTAAAAAATTTGCTGTCGATGACAGCAGCTGTGAATGAGGGTGCAGGAGTCCGAGGGGAGTCCATCCGGGAACCCAGCAGGGTCCCTGGATTTGTAGCTTAAACTCCGTGGGACGCAGTTCACTTGCCTTTGGCGAGATTAAGTCACGCATTCATTTTCACGAACGTGAAAATGTTTGCTGCACCCACCCAGCGGTAAAGCAGGGTGCCGAGCACCTTGAGAGCAAAGGAGGAGGAGGAGGAGACATTGTCTCCCTGTCAAGAGCCCCACTATCGAATAGGGCCGCGCGCCTAAAATGATAACTGTTGTACAAACTGTGTAATGGATATGTGTTCTAGAGGGTTCTGTTTCACCACCACACCCCCAAAAGGACATAACCAAGATATCCCTACCCATATAAAGGGGAATTTAGGCTGATTTGTTAAAAGCATTATGTTAAGTGCAGCCGATGTTTTGAAGTGAATGAGGCTATCACACCGAATTAATAGTTTTCCTCTTAGCATTGTTCCTGCACCAGCTCCTAAAAAAAGATTTTAGAAAAGGGCTGATTGACTATCCCGTTGTACAGTGTGCACCTGCTGTGAAATGAAACCACAAAGGAAAAAAAAAAGTTGAATAATTTAACTTTTTTATTTGTAAAGATAATCAGGGTTTTTCTGATTACATCTTAACTTCATAAATGTTAAATAACCTATCAGCATCTAGTTGTTGTAAATTATGAAAAGGAGCGTCGCAAGGAATATTAACCAACGAAACCCTTGTTCTTTAGTGAACAAGAAAATGTGTTACGGCAGCTTGTCATTGTGCGCCTGGTAAGTTTGACACCAAATAACAAAACTGCCATTTGCACTTAGGGTAAATTGGTTCACTTGAGCTTACACGGCTGCTCTTGGTCTGACATAAATTTATGAACTCGGGAACTAACCAAGTCGTGGGGCTTCCCAGCTGGCTTTAACAAATATGCCCATTTCATTTCACATCGTCATCAGAATACCAGGGGGCTAGGGCGGTTCAGACTCACTGCAGATGGTGCAGGGTCGGCAGGGACACAGGAGCTTCCATGTCACAGTCCTGCAAATTATGACAGTGGAGGGGGCTCTCTTTCCTAAATGCATGTCAGTGTTCGACATGTTCACAGCTTCAAGGAGCAATTTCTGTTTCAACACCTCATAGGCATAGGTAAAGGACATTTATTTTTGATTAAACAAGATGTGAAAAAATGTATTTTCCAGGTCTGTGCTTTGGCTAGCCACGTTTAAACCCAGGTAAAGATTACGTCTGTATTTGAAAAGGGATGGAGTGCCCTTTTGTTCCCTGACCCCGTAGGAGTCCTGTCTTCTTAAGCAGAGAACTTTCTGGAAGCAGGCCAGGAGATGCAGGATGAAGACATACCGTAAAGGCAACCTCAGACAAAGCGGAGGGAAGACCCCTCTCAATCCCTGCTAAGAATGAAAAGTAGAGCATCTTCCTAGAAATGCAATTTGATCATGCCCACGTGTGTACAAAAATAAAACTAGGTAACAAAATATTTGTTACAGAGATGATTACTTGAACAGATATAACATGTGTTCAGAATCGGAATGGCAGCTTTTATATGAAAGCTGGGTTCAAAAGTGTTTGGCCCTTGAAGACATGGTCATAGTTGTGGGTTTTATTTCATTTTGTTCCATTTGATTTGTTTTTGTAGAGACGGCTGTCATTTATTAAGCACTTTCTGCACTGCAGGGCTATAGTAAGTGCTTTGCATGGGTCTTGTCATTTAATTGTGAGCTCTTTATGTGGTGGCTGTTGGTACCATCATCATGCCCGTGGGCATACTGGTGTTCACCAAGGTGAGGCCATTGGCCAGGGGCAGATACGCTCTGAGGAGAGAGACGAACTGTCTGAGTCCGTCCAGTGGCTTGTCTAGTTGGCATATTTTTCAAGCATGTGTTTGTCAAACTTTTCTACAAGACCCACACTAGGAACAGAGGAGACATTTATTGAGCTGTGACTTGGTGCTAAAATCTAGGCTTGAAAACTACGTTGGGTAGGAAATTTTAAAAGTCCCTGACTTTATGAAGCTGGCATTCTCATGGTATTAAATAAGGCAATGAGCACTGCCTTGCACAAAACAGGAATGGAATGAAGGGTCTGTTTCGTTGGTGTTGTTGCTGAAACCACGCAAAAACTTTCAAGCTGGTTTCCTTTCCTCCTGTCTCACGTTTTTAATCCAACATTTACCTGCCAGCAGGATTATCATCCTTAAAAAAAAAAAAAAAAAGTTATATCATGTTAGCTTCTTCAAAGACTCCTTGCTACTGATGGTATATAAAGCCAAGATTTCTTGAAAAAATAACTGATCAAAATTAGACGTCACTTGAGAGAAGAAAGCAAGGTACACTCTAAGATTCTTACTCTGTGGCCAGGGGTGTAGGGAGGGAACTCTAGAAGAACAGGTTTGGGGGTAGAAAATAGAGTAATTCTATCTGGAGCCCGTTGAGGTCTTTGCGAAGTACACTATGTAAAACACGAACTGGAACTACAAGAGGAATATAAAGTGGGACATAAGAATCCAGGAATCAATGATAGAATAAGAGCCATTTAAGCTATTAGGACACATGCAGCAGGCAGTTTAACCAGGAGGCTCTACCTTTAAAATAAAAGCCCTCCGCCTAAGTTGGGCACAGTCTAGCGCTTTTCCAAAGAATGCATGCGCTCAGTTTTTCCTTCAGAGACTGTGGTCAGTCCTTCTGCCTGTGATCATTTTTTCTTTCAGAGGCTTCTTAGTTTCATCTGCTTCACGCAAACCCTCAAGCACCTCTGGTTTTACTGTCTCTTTGCCCTTTATAGGTTAGGGCTCTATCTACGAAAAGCAAAACCACATTGCATTCTCCAGCCCTCGTCTCTCATGGGCTGAGTCCTATGCTGTAGGTTTCATTTTTTTCTATAGCAAAGTTAAACTTGAGCACTACAAAGGTAGCGAATTAAACCCACAAATGTTATGAGCATCAGATAAATGCAAAAATTTAGTGGGAAACCTTATTACATTCCTCATTCAAGGCCCATCCCTGTCGTTGAACCAGAGTGTATGTTGTTCACAACCAAATAAAATGTATGGGCATTTAATTATAGTAGATTGCGAAGAGGCTCAAATGACAAGACTTCCTTTCTTTAGGAAGCATTGTGAAAGATGAAAGTTTTTGAACCCAAATTTCCTCTGTATTTAGATCCATGAGTGTCACTGACTGAGTGGACTGTCCTGACTCAGTAATTAATGTCCTGGGAATCCACTAGGTAGACTAGGATTTGGGGACTTTATGGGCTGTTACGTCAAGAATCCATGTCAGACTGGCTACGTACACATTGCCTACAGAAAAATTATTGTCATAAGCAAAACTGGTGGGGTTTTTTATGTACTTCAAGGATAGGGAAGGCTAAGAAAAATATATGACTCCATTTCTAATTGCCTTGTATTTTTTAAGAGGTGAAACATGGCTTTGGTTTTATTTGCCTACAGAGTATATCTTTGAAAAGAACTATTGTACTTCATTTTTTTAATAGGCAATGCCCATTTCTTACTTTTGGAATATGCATTCTAATTTTTTTTTAGTTTAAGTTTCCTGCTGTGATTATTTGCTATATCCAGCAACAATATACCTTTACATTGTAAAAGTTTTTTAAATATATGTTGTTCTTCTAAGACAAACATTTGTTGACCGTTTCGTATAGCCTCCATGTATGCTCTTACTTTTTCCCTCTCTCTTTAAAGGGACCCTTATCCCCCAGATGCCCGTGGAGTTCAGCGTCTTGCTGGGAGCCGGACGCGGGGCGCCCGTGCGCTTCCCCGCAGGCCGCCGCCAGTCCATCCTGCTGCAAAGCTTGGCTCCATTCACGCAGTACGAGATCAGGATACAAGCATGTCAGAATGGTGAAAGTCTTTCAGATACTCGTTCCAGCCTTTTATTGTTTCTTTTAAGAAAAAGTATTTTATTAAAAAAAAGAAAAGAAGAAGAAGAAGAAGGAATAGATTCTCAATTCCAATACCAAGACGAGCATTTCATTTCCTATTTGTACTGAACTATTTACCCAGAAAAATCAGAACCTGGTATCAAGGGAAGCATTATGCATTTCTGCACATTAAGTCATGAATATTTAAATATATTAAAATAGTGGTTTTGCAAAGTCTTCTTTTATAAGGCCCTTTAAAAGAAAAACACCTAGATCACAAAGGAATCCTTGCTCATATGAAACAGATTGCGTATAACAGAAATTTCATAGAAAATGTAGCTACCTTGTTTCTATTTAAATTTTATTCAGAAGAGGCTGGTGGGGAAGGGGGGCATTATTTAGAAGTTACGTTACACTCTCATGAGTCTCAGGTATTTTCAAGTACGTCCCTGTCCCCTATCCCATGTACATAAACTGTCACCTTGAGTTCCGTGGCTTAGAATAGTGGTCCGTGAAGCCATCGTCCATTTGGGTGGCCCTCAGGGGGAGCCTCTCTCAGTCCCTCCATCCTTCAAATGCTGTATAACACCCAGCTTGCTAAGAGAAGAGCATATGTAACTCCTGTTGGTGTGCATGCAGTATTACACCATCTTGGGTCAAAGAGATGTACCAACCGTACGTTCAATGTGTAGTTGGTGCTCTTGTGCTGCGCATCCCTTAGGAACATCTGTAGTTAAATGACTGCTAGTTGCCATAGAGTTGCTCAGGACTGGGGCAGTGATTTCGTCCGCTCCATTCTGAAACTCTGACTCCTTTGGCCGCTTGCCTCTACGATCCCGACCAAGGCATTTTGGTCCGGGAGGTGCTGGTGTCCCTGATCCAGTCTTCAGCAAATCACCGAGAAATAGCTTTAAACAATGTTCTCTGGAGGTACACGTAAAATCAACTTCTGCCTCTCTAGGCCCCTAAAACTATACTCTCAAGTCCCAGTGTCCAAGTTAATTGTTTGACTCCTGTGTGGAGAGGCAGTCACTATTTTTAAATATTAACAGCAGGTAAGCTGTGTAGGTCATGCACTTAAGAAATTCAAGCACATTATCACTTTGTTGTTAGAATGACTACAATGAACTAGGGAAACCTCAGTTCAGACAAGCATAAGCTTTATTGCTATCTGTACCCATATAAAGATGTGGTTGAATAATAGATTTTCCAAAAATGATTCTCAATTTAACTTCTCAAATTCCATAGACATTTATAGTACTAGCCTAAAATATGTGTAGAAGCATGTATACAAAATTCCAAGTAAAATGATTTTCATGATATCCTTACCATTCTACATTATATATCAGTCTTTTCTGTGCTTGATAAATTACTCAAGGTCTTGATTTTTTTTTTCAAGGAAGCTGTGGGGTCAGCAGTAAAATGTTTGCTGAAACACCGGAAGCAGCCCCAGAGGACCTAAGTGCCCCGGTTCTTAAGGCCCTGGGATCAGCTCGTGTAGAGGTGACGTGGAAGCCACCTACGAAACCCAACGGCATCATCATCAACTACTTTATTCAGAGGTAACGTGGACTGTTATGATGATTTTTATCTATTGAAGAATGTGGGCTATTCTAAGACTGTAGAATCGAATCCATTTTCTCTTCCTGTAAGGGAATAAATGGGAATTTTTGGAGCACCTGCTAGGGACTCCAGTGGGTACTGGGAACATTTACATGTTGTCCAAGAGAGAAGAGCCTCACCCACCATGTATTGTCCCTTGAGCGCTGTCTGAAAGACGGGACCTCAGAGCCACCTGGGCCTTGCCTTTGATGAGGTGGTAGCACGTCCTCGAGGCTCCCTGGCCCGGAGAATGTGGTTGCTCCAGAGGAGGAGCCGGGTCTGGGGCGAGACTTCTTGTATTTCCCGTCACCTACCTTGTGGATGTTGGAAAGGCGTTTCTCACCCTCCAAAGCTGGGGGGCTGTTCGTTTGCAGAAAGTGTGGCTCAGCCCCGCAGTCCCCTCTGCTTGATGGGTTCCCACCAGTCTGACTAACGGTGCTTATGTAGCTTCTCTTCACCATGTTGTGCAGAACTGATTCAGTGTATCCACGTAAAATAAGGAAGAGAGGGAAAGGGGGGAACGGGGAGGAGAGAGAGAGAGAAGGGAGAAGGAAAGATGTGGGAGAGGCGTTTGAGGCTGAAGGGATGTTGCACTCCTTGATCATGCCTTTATCTGATCAACAGGGACATAGCTTTAAATTCATATTTTCTTTAAATAAATAATGAGGAAGTGGAGGAGAGGGAGGAAGGCAGAGAGGGAAGGAGGGAAGAGAGAAAGAGAATGAGAGACAGACAGACAGGGCAGGGCTTGGGAAGAAAAGAGAACAGAAAGAGCCAAGGGGCCACACACCTGTCCGCTGCGAGCTCGCTCTCTCCCTCCCTCTCTCCCGCCGTGTTATTTGATTCAGGCTGCTGCAACACAAATACCGTAACCTTTTAAGTGTTTAAGCAAACATTTAAAATTTCTCCCACTTCTGGGGAGCCCAAGTTCAAGGCGCCGGGACACTCGGTGTCTCGTGAGCGCCCACTTCTGGTTTGTAGCGGGCAGTCACTTCACTGTGTGCTTCCCTGGCGGGAGCCGCTAGGGAACTCTGCGGGGTCCCTTTTATTAGGGCACAGGTCCCACTCCTGAGGGCTCCACCCTCAGGACCTAATCATCTCCCAGAGCCTCCAGCTCCTAGCACCATCACACTGGGGGTTGGGGTTGAACCTGTGAATTGGCGGGGCCATTCCCCCCGCAGGGCCATCTAAGGTGGAGAAGACTCTGCAAGGCAGACGTAAACCATTTGCAGACTGAAAACCCCGTTCCCGACACCATGCGTTTACACCTGGCGCCAGAGCCTAGCACATCGCCCTCCCTCTGGTCCTCCTCCCCGCTTCAGCGCCCTTCGTTAGCCTCTCCGGCGGCTTCACACCTGGCCTCGTGCGCGCCATCGCCCTGGACGCAGCGTGAGGCTGCGCTTAGGTTCCTCCGCAGCCTCAGGGACAGCCATCCCTCAGTTCACAGCAGTCTGCCGGGGCGCGCTCGGCATCTGCTGGAAAATTAGGAAAGGAAAAGCGCTATCACGTTTTTGGTTAGGCAGCTGGCAGCACCGAAAATGAGCAAGCTGAATTTCTGCCCCGCAAACCTTAATTTGAAGAATAGTATTTCTGGTTCAAATACACATAAACATGTAAAAATGGCCTACGTGGATTTACATTTTACGCTAAGCACATTTGCGCAGGCTCTAAAATGCCCGTCCTCTTGGAATAGTTTTCTTTCATGTACTTAATGCTAATTGCATGAGAAAACCACATCCAATTCCTATTCTGAATCGAGGGAAATAAAGTATCTGTTATAAACCAGGATGTGGCTTCACTCTGTTAGTTTTGTAAATAAAGCTCATGATTACGGTGGCCATTCCACAGCAGCGATAGAGAGGGAAAACAGGAAATATAATGCAGAGAGCCCGCTTCAATGAAAAATACTGTAAATTGAATTTGACAGCATTTGATGGCATTTGATTATTCCAGTCACAGCCAAACAATGATATAAAGAGTAATATGAAACAGAATGTGTTACTGCCTAGCGGACTCAAAAGCAATAAACCTTCCTCCAATGTGACACAATCACTTCACAATCATAATTGTAGCCTGTTTGATACCTCCGAGTACAGGAGAAGGGCACTGACTGACATAGATACATTTTGTTTTTTATTTAAAGTGAAATGAAAATGGTGCACTGGGGCTCCAGATACAATCATTATATTCACCTCCATAGGCATGAATCACTTGGCAGTTATTTCGGCTGAAGTTTAAATGTGCTTAGACAACAACAATATCAAATTTTTCTTAGATAGCTGCAAAAAAAATCAGAAATTTGTAAGGACAGAAATGGAATGTAGACAGAGAGTTCTTTTTCATTCCGGGACTACGTGGAGCCCCTTCCATAGTTATGGCCTCAGCCTGCAGTATTTCTGGGGAGGAGATGGCATGTAATTTCTGCTTCCTCATTCGCCTCTTCTTTCTTCCGTCACCACCGAAGGGAGCACACTTAGCTCAAACCAAAGACGGGGCTTGGCCTATGCTGATATTTTCATTAAATTGCAGGAAGCCAGCACGCCAGTCCCATTTTGAAAATGATCGTCACTCTGTTCTCTGTTGTGCCCGCCCCCAAATGAACTCTCCTCAGTAATTCCCTTCTGTTGTTAATGATATCATCCTATTAAAAAGTATCTGTCCCAATAAAGAGATGAGATGTCTGTGACTTTAAAAAAAAAAAAAAAGCAGTAACATAGTATGGACAAGACTATTAATGTGATTGCTTCCATTAGTTTACCTGTTAATTTGATGTAGACGTAGAAGCCCCCCCACTTATCCAAGGGGGATGTTTCAAGGCCCCCCATGGATCTCTGAACCCACAGATAGTCCCAAACCCTAGAGTTAATAATTCTTTCCTATACATACATATCTGTGATAAAGATTCATTTATAAATTTGGCCCAGTAAGAGATTACCAATAATAATAAAACAGAGCAATGACAATATACTGTAATAGAAGTTACATGAATGTGGCCTTGCTCAGTCTCCCTCTTAAAATACCTCACTGTTTGGCGCTCACCTTTTTCCCCTAAAGGAAGTGCTTGAAGGCTGCTCCTTGGCTGTGCGAGTTGCCAGCATCCCCACCCTTGCACTTTGGGGTCATTAGTGAGTAAAACAAGGGCGACTTGGACACAAGCGCAGCAGTCCGTCTGAAACCCGGAAGGCTACCGAGGGGCCGGCGGGCTGCGGCGGGCCCTCGGGACTGCGGGAGCACCCGCCTCCAGGGCGGTGCAGCGCGGGGCAGCGTAAGGTTTCATCCCTCTACTCAGAGCAGCACGCACCTCAAAAGGTGGGGGTGTGTTTTCCCTGGAATTCTCCATTTAATATTTTTGGACCACCCTTGACCTCAGGTGCATGGGAAGTGAAACCCCAGAGAACAGGGACTGCTGTATTTTTGGGGGGCTGCTTTGTTGATCATGTATGAGTTAAAAAGGAGATGATAGCCTGTAACTGGGATAACACTTAGGCTAATGTTTTGCAGCCTGTTCCCTGACAGGGTACAGACAGGGCCATCTTGGGCATTTGCTTTCTCTTCATAGTGTGTTTGGTTTGTATGATGAAGGTTGCTCGGTATTCACCCTTTATCTTATGTCTGTAATCGTGTAAGTGGGAAAAACCCATCTGCAAAGCCTGGCTTCCACCTATGGAGTCAGCCGCTCCCTTAGAGGCCTGTGGAAACCAGCGCCGTCCGGGCACACAGGAGCACTCACGTAAACACACAGGCACTGCGAGGCCCGCACGTTCGCGCGGCTCCCTTTATTGCGGTAGCTGCTTTACGTCCGTGGTCTGGAACCAAACCCGCAGTATCTCCTAGGTATGCCTGTAAATCCCTGCAGTTTAAATGGATTAACACTTCACATTTTTGGAAAATCTTTGAAGTTTCTTCCCGCAACGCCAGAGCATCCACTCACTCCGTAACGCCGCATGATTCAGCTGTCACGGAGCACTTTGTAAACCCCCGGTGGCCCCCTTACCCCCGCTCAGGGCCTGCGCGCATTCCCACGTGGACCGCCGAGGCGGCCTCTGCACTGTGTGACCGCCTGCTGTTGAACGCAGCCTTCACACAGCTGCTGAGTTCGTCTTTCTAAGTACCGCTCGGGAACTTCATCTCTGGTAACTGGTTTGTAGCATGTCTTACATTTACCCAGTGGTTTTCATGTGCATTATTTGATTTAATTCTTACAGAGATTCTGAGAGAGTATACACCGTAAGCTTATGAAGTCCAGTTTACAAAGTGACATAGAAACCAGAGAGCACAGGTGAGCCTGCCCAAGGTCGTTTAATGACGTGGCAGGGCTGGAGCCTGGAGCCTGTCTGCTCTGACCGCAGACGTGATGTTTCTGGCTACCTGTTTAAATTGGGGGTCTTTTTAATGTTGTTCTTGAGGTGACAGTGGCAGTTTGGTAATCTTAAATTGGTACGGGAAGTGCATTTAGTTACAGGGTGGTGGTAGAATTGCTTTTGGAGAGCAGCACAGGGCGCTGCAGGCGCGGGGCGGTGGGGTGGGGGCGCCTGGAACGGTTCTGCGCAGGGAGCCGGCAGAGGCCTGTGCGCCTCTTCAGCTAAATGGCGCTCGGTTGTACTACTTAGCGTTGTTTTCTTTTCAGTGTTAAGCAAGATTTAATTAACTCTAGTTGGAAAGTGTGTAACTGAGGCTCACTTACACGTAGAACCACCATCGGCTCTTCCGAGAGATCTTAAAACACGATTTCCATCGACACAGACTGTTCAGAAGGAAACACTGCCAGTTGAATGAATAATTAGCTTACATTTTAAATAAGTAAGGAATAATTGTGGTCTATTCAACCTCTTCTGTTCAGAGTTTATTCAGACATGAAGATATTCTGTTTTTTAACCCCACAGATAAAATATTTTCCTCACCATAATATTAATTTATTAAGTATTCGATAGTGATAGGAATTACTTAACCAGGCAGCATTCTTTCATTGTATTGGTGAATAAAAATCGAAGCTAACATCATGCTCAATCTTTTTCATAATGTGGTTTTTTTTTCCCTTTTTTTTTTTTTTTAATCTTCACTCAAAGACATGCTTAGTTGATTTTAGAGAAAGGGGAAGGAGGAAGAGAGAGAGGGAGAGAAGCACCAGTGTAAGAGAGAAACATGGATCAGTTGCCTCTCACCATGTTCCATGACCAGGGAGAGAACCTGCAGCCCCGGTACTTGCCCTGACCAGGAATCAAACCCATGACCTTTCAGTTACAGGACAACACTCCAACCAACTGAACCACACCAGCCAGAGCATAGATTTTTAAAATTCACACTTTCAGGCAATTTTTTTAAGCAATGTCAGTTTTGTGACAACCCTGACTACACCTCCGTGTGGGAATGCATGAGAGTTTAATAAAAAAAAAGTAATTAAATTGTCATGGGAAGATGGAAGTCAGACAACGGAAAAATGTCCTTTCCCCATAGAAGATCGTATGTTAGTTTGCTGTATTATGTTCCTAGCAAACACCTTTGAAAAAGCTCAACGAGAGGTGATGTTGGCTGTGAGCCTTGTGGTCCTCATTAGAACGGATCCCTCCTAATGGCACACCTGGTACCTGGGATCTGCCGCAAGTACAAAGGCCAAACCCTGCGAACTGCACAGAGTGCGGAGTCTGGCCCGGGCAAGGCAGCGAGCATAATGAGGCGGGTTGCCGAACAGTAATGGCAGGTCACTGAGAGGCGTCTAGGAAGCCTCTGCTGCCTCCAGCAGGAAGCTTGTCATTGCCCATACTTAGGTCACAGTGATTTATCAACCTGAGGATCATCGAATTCCCAAAGCCAACGATTGTAAATAGCCCTCCTTTTTCTGTGAAAGGTACTGCCATTGACTTTGTCTTAATAACCCCTTCTGTTTGGATGGTTAATCTGATATGGCAGTATGTGAACATGTCAGTATATGAAGGGTATGTTAATTAAGTTCTCCTAATGGCCCAAACGTACTGATTTACTCACCAGTCTCTTCTCCATGAGAGAGCAAGTTGAAGAAAGGGAGGGTCATGTGTTGGGTACATTCCTCCCTGACCTAGAATACTCCCCAGAAAGGAAAAAAGAGCTGATAGACATGAGGCAAAAATGAAGAATAGCCACAAGATTATATGTCATTTATCTGGGGGAAAAAAAATTATTGAACTCTAACTGGGCTCTAAAGCAGGGGATACAGAAATAAACGAACCACCCGTCCTCAGGTACGCCCCCTTCTGGCCAGGCCTGCATTACATTTGGGTGAGCAAAGAACTGTGGGAGCGAAGTTATCAGATCCTGGGGGCGGTCCCAACGCCTGACAGTTCCATTTCTCTTGCTTAGATGTTTAACGCTCTCTATATTGGGTACCCTTTAAAAGAGTGTTCTTGGGCTCTGCATTTGATATCAGTAAATCTAAAAATGGAACCAAACATTCCCAGGCAGTTGAAAGAATTTTTGTTTTTTGAGCCTTGTCTGCATTTTATGAGGTTTTGGAGAGGATGTCTAAAAGGAATTTGATGTTTGCCCTTTAAAGACCTCTAAAGCAAATTCTTATCATATGATTGATCATGCTATTTTCATTAATTTGCATTTCACTTTATTTCTCTACTCACCATGAGCTCCATTGGATAAGAAGTTCATCTTTATACATCTCTGCTCTTGGTACACGGTCCAGTGTAGAATAAAGTGTTCAACAGAAGGTTGGTTGATGAATAAAAAAAAACAAAACACTGGCCCTTACTTTGAAGGGGTGTGGTTTAATTCAGGAGAAAACGCATCTGAAGGGAAATGAGTAACACGCAGGTAGTGTTTGAGGACATCCTGGAAACCAAGGTGAACCGGCATCGCGGAGGGTGAAAGGGGGTGAGCGCTGTGGCCTCCCACGAGGCGCCGCCTCTGCTGCTGGCCTGGGCGTCTTCCCACGAGACCTTGTGGCGCAGGAGGAGAAGGGCCAGCCTGGCAGCGCACATGCTTGCACGTCTCTACCGCTGCCGTATCTGCGAATGCCCCGCTGGCCAAAGAGAGTCTCATGGCCACTCTCAGAGTGATTGTAGGAGCCGGTCAGCAAAAGACACCGATACAGGGAGATGGAAACCATGGGGACACTAATTGCAATCTGCCCACCACTGGAGGGAAAGGGCTCCCGGGAGCACCAGCCTCTGCCAGTTCTGTGTGGTGCGGTTCCAGCTGTGCAAACGGAAAACCCCAGAGTAACTGCGCGCGCACACACTCACACTCGCACTCACAGACAAAGGTTGGCAAACAGCCAAATAAGCGCCAGTGGTACTACATATGTGCCTCTGTAGTTTTTTATTTTTAATTTTAAATATTTTGATGTTTAACTTTTTATGTATTGCACATGTAGTTTTTTAAAGAAAAATGTCTGAAAGTTAATACAAGAAGGTGTGATAATGGACAATCTCTGGCTTTTTAAGATTAGCCAAATATGTGCGTGTATATATAAAACTATAATTATAAATGTATATACTCACACTGCATTTTTAAAAAGCTACTTGATCAGGCCCCTGGTGTGCTCCTCCACCTGGTCTCCATCACGGCCCCAGGAAGAGACTGTAGGGAAGTTGAGGTGGTGACAAAACCTCAGAAGCCATTCCTTGCTCTGTCTGCACACCTGGGTTTGACTGTGCGGCTGTCCCTGACCCCCTTCTTGGTTTCCTTCCAGGCGTCCCGCGGGCATTGACGAGGCGGCCCTGGTGTTTGTCTGGTCAGAGGGAGCCCTTGAATTTACTGATGCCGCTGCCGCTCTGAGGCCCTTCACACTCTACGAGTATCAGGTCAGAGCGCGGAACTCCAGGGGCTCCGTGGAGAGTCTGTGGTCCTCGGTGCACACACTTGAAGCCCCACCCCAGCATCTGCCAGCGCCCTGGGCTCAAGCCACCAGTGCTCACTCAGTTCTGCTGAACTGGACGAAGCCAGGCTCCCCCAATGGCGTCATCTCCCAGTACCATGTGGTCTACGAAGAGAGGCCAGACGACCCAACACTGAGCGTCTCTACCGTGCATGCTTTCACAGTGATGGTGAGTGCGGAGGAAAAGCAACCGGCTCTAAGGTTAGCGGGTTAGCGGGTTGAAATCCATTGTTTATCCACCTTGTTATTCTTCACTTAGAGGTTAGATATATGAAAATCATTCACACATGAAAAGACGCAATGTGATCATAGGAATAAGATTCTAAACTGAGTAGAGAGGGTGCTGGAAACCAGTTTGCAGGCCACAACTAATTCGTCTTGCCTCCAGCAAATACGTGAACCTCTCCCCACCTGATTCCTAAGCCCGTTCAATGGGGATAGTAAAGGTGTTTCTCTATATTTCATGGAGATGAGGCTCAGATAAAATTAGAGATTTAATTTTTGTTTTCTTGAAGAGCCAATTATTTCACATATTTACATTTGTATAGGTATATTGGTATACATAGATATAGGGATTATGTGAATGAAACAGTATAGATAGATTTAGAAATAGATACCTTTAGATAGATACAGATATGTGATATGATTGGCTCTATGAGGATGAAAATTAAATTTGTAGATATATCTATCTAGATGTGTAAACATGCCATGTTTTGTCACTGGACTTATGTTTAATTTTTCCATATGACTAAAAAATAAGCAACCTGTGACTGAAAGCGTACTATTTAAACAATCATTATTTCAGAATCGGTACTTTTTATTTGGCATTTAGTTATCTTTATATTTCAGGGTCTTTCATGTTACATCTTCTAAATCCTTCATTACAAGCATTAGAAGCAGTTTTCCTAAATATAGATATGTGATCTATGGGCAAATATGTTACTTCTCACCACATCCTTGGAATTCATATTCTCCATTTCTCCCCTGAAAGTGAAAACTGAAATACGAAGTAAGAACACTTGACGAGCTTTCTGAGTGAGACCACTGAATTTAAAATGCATTTTATCGAAGGCACCAATAATGCAGTGATTGAACCTCAGATCTTCTAAGAGATGTGTTTCAAGGGCTATGAGCCCAAGTGCCGAATCTCCCAGAACAGGTCTGTCGGAGTTCCCCTGCGAAAGGGTCTCTAAGTCACCCCGTTCAGCCGGTTCCATTTTACAACACAAGACTTAAGAACCCAGTGGATTCAGGGAGGCCTGTGGCTCCAAGCTGTAAGCCTCCTGGGGCGCTTTGTCCACAGGCCCCAACACAGTGTCTATTCCGACAGCCCCACCCGTATTGTGAAATCCTTCATTGATCCTTGCAGTCCAAAGAGGATAGCCAGAGTAACGAAGACCCTGTAACACTTCAGCATACTGTCTTTGAATGTAAAAGCGCGCGCGCATGTGTGTGTGTTCAGAGGGGCCCCCCAAATCTGGACTTTGGCCCGGAGAATCCTAAGAGAAGGCTTCCTTAGGTCCATCAGGACAGGCCCCATCTGACCTCAGTCTGTGAGCGCTCAAGGACACCTTCCACAGAACGGTCAGGGCTGCCTCCAGGCATTCCGGTCACTAGGTCAGCCCCACGGCCGGAGGCCTTCGTGGGCCGGCATCTTTAAGAGAAGTAACCAGAAACACGATTGTCTTTGAGGTTCCCTCGTTTGTACGATCCATTCCCAAGAGAGTATGTGCATTAAAAAGTATCTAAAGAAGGAAGCTCTACCACTTAACTCCAATTCCTCGCCCTCAGAGAAGTGCCTTCCCTTTTCCCAGGCAGTTTCCTCCTCCCCTAATTTAAGTCCATCTCTTCCTGCTCCGAACAGCAGGGCTTTTCTATTTATACTAGTGCGATGGATCTTCTGGGTCAAGAGCCGATTATTGACGAGGCAGTCCACTTCGGCAAATAGTCATTGAGTATATACTCAATATGCCAATTCTCAGTCCTGCCCTCAAGTATATTTATGAAGCCTCTCAGGAGACCAGGCCCTCAGGCAGAGAGGAGGCGGGGCAAGGCGCGTAATCAGTTGGAGGTGCAGATGGTGACCGCCGGGCATTTCGGGTTAAGCCTCTTTGCTTCGCAGTTCCTGTGGCTCAGGGTTCCATGAATCCCTTTTAAATCTTTCTCAGGGCGCCTTCCTGGACGTACTTACTCTTTCTCTCACTCCTGTACCAGCTAAACATCTTCCCTGTCTCCTTCCATGGCTGCACCTGCCCTAGGAAACCTTTCAGGTTTTCGTCTCATAGCCGGCTGTGGCTGAAATTCTCCAAAGCAAAGAACTATATTGTCAATTTGTGCGACACAGAATCCATCCTCACAGTGGCCAGGATTCCAGTTCAGTCCCCAGACTCCCAAGAGGTATCACTGATTCCCCTCATGCAGTCTCGTTTATTGGGATCCCATCCCTGCCCGAGGGGCCAGCAGTATGTTGCCGGTAGCATAGTGCCCTCACTAGCTTGTTCCAGAGTCCCCCCAGAGTTGTTTGCAGACAGGTGGGTGTTGCGGGGAGAGCCACATCAAACAGGTGCAGTGGATGCATGCATCCTCCAAAAGCGGCAGTGGATGGAGAACCGGTGGGGGGGCCTCCGTTGCGGGGAGGCATATGCGTTGGCAGGAGCCGCCGCAGCAGGGTCGGCAGGAGAGAACTGGCAAGAATGTGGGGTTGAATGTGTCACCAGCTTCCCTCCCAACCTCCTGAAGTTTCGCCGCCTTTTGGGCCTAAGTAGGTCCTTTTAAGGGAAAGAGAGAGAAAGACAGCTAGATGCTTAGGTCCCTTGGGACCCCTGCCCACGCCTTCTGAAAGCGAGCTTTAGGTAGAAGCCCTCCGGCTCCCTTCCCCGTCAGCCCGGTGATGGATCGAGTGGTGTCAGAAGCTGCCTTTAGCCTCGCTTGGCACCTGCGAGCTCCACGGCGGTGTTCTCGGGGGGCACTGCTGGCGAGCTGGGCTGCCCTGCTGCCACCGTTCCGACGGGTTTGCTTTTCCTCCCTGGCACCTGCCTTTGTACTGGCAGCAACAACTTGGGGTTTAAAAGCAACAGCAGTTTACCTGTCAGGCTGCACTCTAAGTAGATCCTGCCCCCGCACCAGGTTATGCAACACAAAGCCCACGTCGCACATTTGCCCAGTACCCTGAAAGGCAGACGGTGCTTCACCCTGCGGGCGGGGCCAGGCCTGCAGTGCTGAGGGGCCCGCAGACTCTGTGGGTCACTGAAGGTTGGCTTCCGGCCTGGACATAGAGTCCAGAACTACAGACTGGAGCCTCCAGATTCTGGCCGCCAACCTGCCTTGCCCAATGTCAAGGAGGAGGTGTTCCAGATTTCCTCATGGGATCACCTCAGATTTCTTCACCATGAAGGAGGTATGTGGGGGGAGGGCCGGAATTAGATACTTCGGCATTGCCACATTATGGAGAGTTTGGAAGTAAACTGATACATTCATTTTTTAATTCCACCTCCATGTTGGCTTAGTATAAAGTAAAATAGTGTTGCTCTTTACACATGATCTTAAATTAATTGGAGCTCTTAAAATCTGATGGTTCTTAGTCTTTTCTCCCCAGATCCACTTATAAGAAAAAACAAATGTTCTGAGAGATCTAGTTATCTAAAAAGACTATCTTTCCAAAATGAAGATAAAATGGTAAGAGAAACAGTTAGTTACCTTGCATTTCTTTATCAATTCTATAAATTGAGACTTTTCATATTTTATAATATGAGATAACTATATCATTCACTCTTTTATATAAAAAATATGAAATACGGGTGGGTAATTGTCACACTAAACAATGAATGTTGGCACAACCCTTTTTTATTGTTGTGATGTATTTGGTTGCACATTAACATCACACTTACTAGATTTACATTATCTTTATCCCCTTTTTTTTCTAATAAGCCCCTGTCAATTACAAATATATATTGGGATTCTCCTTTTAGCTCAATATTATTGGGGACCGCGAAGAACTAGACCCATGTAAGTCGCCGTAAACATCACGTGGCGGCTTCTTTGAAAGAACTTTATTTTTCTTCAACCCCTTTATTCCCACAAGCGTCATCAGGCCGCTCCTGCTCACTCATCAATAATCTTTACAGCAGGTCCCAGGGTTTTCCAGTCACTGTCAGTGACAGCCACCAGCCCAGTCTTAGTAATCAGGACCCATGCCAGGTGTTTAAAAAAATAATCCAGTCTGAAGCCTGACTGGTGTAAAAGGATGTATGGTGTGGAAGTCAGGGCATGCTTGCTTTTCTCCCTCCTCTTCTCCTGTGGGTTTCCCCAGGATTGGGGCAGAAAATACAGAATTAGACATGGAGGAGCAGAGCCTCACTCATTAATATTGTTCTAATCCATCCATCGCTGCTTCTGGTGGGGCAGGAGCCTCGTGGGATTTTCTCTGTGGGTCACGCCAAGGTCCCCAGGGGACAGTCCATGCTTCCTGGTCCCCGATGCAGTTGGTACACCCCTGGCCAACTCCTTGCGCCCCAGACGTCCACCCCACAACCTCCTTTACTTCGGGCACCTCTCTTCTGAGCCGCCAGCCAACATCAGGTTCTGCCGTGTCGACAGGACTCACTCCTCCTGCAGCATCTGCTATAAACCTGGTCGATCAAACGAGGAAAGTGCAGCCCGCCCGGCAGCCACTGCTGTGCTTGACCCACCGCACCGGCTAAGGCCCAGCGGCCTCACAGCCTCAGAGTTCGTTGGGCAAGAAGCAAGCGCCTGCTGCTGTGTTAGGCCAGGTCGCCAAATCCCGGGGTCTCCCAGCAATCGCAGAAGACCCTTCCTCTCCCTAGTGGCTGGATCAGAATCGCTCTGTGAGTCTCCTCATCTCAGCAGCAGGCCTCTCGAGTGGAGCAGGATACCTGTCTCACCTTCCACGCAGACATCCCCAGTTTCTTCATGCTGTTCTCCTGGGTCTCCCTCACAGGCCCTTGAGAGAGGAATTGGGGTACATTTCCCCTGCAAATGGTAAGAAGGTAACCTGGAGAAGCTTCTCTCCTGAATTCCCTTCTTGGACTTACTTTCCATGACCCTGGATCTTATATAGGTGGTCTTAGGACTCTGAAAGGCAGATTCTTTCTTTCAAGCCCTGCAGAGAAATGTCTAGCAGCTTGAGTAGAGACACATAGCCCCTGTTTC